CAGACGTGCCATGTCAGATGTATCCACCGCAGGGGACACCCTCAAGGTCTCCCAGGCCGCGAGAGTCCTCCATGTGGCTCCTGCTTGCTCTTTGGGACCCGCCACCAGGTCATGGTGAGGCAGGTCGCCCAGATCCTAAGGGTATTCCAGCTCACCACAGGCCTGCCCCTCCCCAGGGGATAGTTTCTTGCCCCAGCTTCAGGGACTCGACTGGACAGTGATCAGGGCTGCATGTGCCTGCGTCCAGGTGTCCTTCCCACCCTCCCCAGCCAACAGCTCGGGAGCCTCTTCCCTTGTGCACTTTGCCCAGTGGGGTGCCCTGCACCCTCCCTGGAGCCCCACTGTGAGGGCCTTCACTGCGTCCCACCTGGGAGCCACAGCCTGACCCCAGGTGTTCTGAAACAAGAAGTGGGGATCACGTACCCGCCAGGCTGGTCGCTCCCAGGGCAGGGCTAGCTCTCCTGTTCTGCCGGGGCTCCCTGACCTGTGTTGGCGCCCCCTGCCATGCTCTGGGTCAGGTCACTCTCTGTGGGACGCAGACGTGCCATGACAGGTGTATCCAGAGGAGTCCAAGAGGCACCCACGGCTGCGATCACCCAGGAGAAAGGGTTCTCTAGGTCCAGGGGATCGGCCTGAGCCCTCCAGACTTCAAGTGATGCTCTGTGGGTCAGCCCCCAGAGCTGTTCCAGGGAGAGAGCGAGGGCCAGTGGCCTTGGCAGGGTGACCTTTGAAGGGGTCCAAGAGAGGAGAAAGATGTGCCTGTAAACACACTCACATACACACAAGGAAAGTAGATAAAAGTGGGCTGTAAAAAAAAATCATTTAAAAAAATAAAAGCCCCCACTGTAGGCCCCGTCTTCCAGAATCTGTTGTAACAGATTCACCCAAGCTGGTTAACGGTATTTGCGGTTTGCAAGATGGTACATGTCCTGGGAAAATGACAGACAAGTTATTATCACCTCTCCACTGTCCTCTTGCCTAAACCTGCCCATGCCAGGCACCCAGCTGCCGGGAGCGGGTGCGAGGAAATTAACAGCCCCGCGCCCGCCCACCCCCCACCTGCCCTCTCACCCGCCACCCCCACACCAGCCCTGCCAGGCCCAGGGCTCCCAGCCAGGCCGGGCCCACCTTGGACTGGGGTGGGGGAGGAGAGGAGAGGAGGGAGGGGTCCTGGGAGGGACAGGCCGCATCGGTGTTTGGGCAAACCATTTCCTGCAAGCCAGACAGAATGCACGCATCCGAGCAGGCAAGTCTAGGCRGCTCCGTGTCAACAGTCGAAGATAAATAAGATTTTATCAGCTCCGAATCTGTTGAAACACATCCATCTAGCGGTTCTAGGGAAGGAGAAGGCAGCAGGGGCAGGGGAGGCAGAGAGGAAGCATCTCCTCGGCCTCCCAGAGCAGGGCCACCACCGACSGCCTCTCCTGCCCACTTTCYTCAGACTTCCACGCTGAGCGCTGACCCCTCAAGTTCTGTCTGGGGACCTGAGGGAGTGCTCAGGCCTCTCCGGGCTCAAGACATGGGTATTCCAGRGTCCTTCCTTCCCGTGGCCACCTGTCCCCACCTGATGCTCCCAGGTGTGGGGAGGCCACAGGCATCCCTCCCTGAGGCTGCCGGGCAGGGCCAGGATGGGCACCTCTGCGTCCAGCCGGCCATGCGCAGTGGCAGGTGTGTGCGTGCCAAAGTCCACATGAGCGCCGTGTTGGGGCGCCTCTGTGGGGGGCCAGGCCGACCAGGGTCCCTTAGAAGAGGAAGGGAGGGCCTTGACTGAGGGAAGCGGCCCCCTCACTCTCTGCCCTCCACAGCTGGATGGGGTCAGGAACTGCCCACCGGAGGCCACTGAGCACTCCAGCTGGAGCCCCGCTCCCGCCGCCGCCCGAGTACCAGGGACAGCTCCCGGCGCCCAGCTCCTCCCCGGGGCGGGGCGTTCACGGCGCGCTCCTCTCCGGCTCCCGCTGGCCGCGCCCGAGGTGCGCAGCTGGGGCTGCGGGCKGGCAAGTGCGCTCCCGGGCTCCGGAGGAACCGGCTGGTGGGGCTGGGGCAGGACCCTGGGGAAGGACAGGGGCTTTGAAGCCGCTCGCGCTTTTCAGACTCCACGGCTGGCGGGGCCGCGCGAGCCAGCTCTCCCTGTCGGAACACGGCGGGAGCCCGGCGCGCCCCCACGGCCGGGCGTGTCGGGGCTGCCCAGGAATGCGGCGGCAGGGCCCTGTCACACCTCGCCCGGCCTCGCTCCAGCCTACCTTGGCCCAGGGCCTTGGGGGGCCTCATGCTCCATCTCAGGTCATGGTTGGGAGGAGGGTGACTCTGGACGGTCAGCCCTGGAGAGGTAATGCCGGGAGCCAGGCCTAGAGCCCCTGGGCGGGTCCAGGTGGTCCCAGCCCCTCCCACGCCACCTCCATCTCTGGATGGCTGGGCCTGCTTACAAGGAGAGGGACCCACGCAGGTCCAGCCTGGTACTGTGAACGACCCGGCAGTGTTAGGCCCGCGGACCTGCTGCGCTCGGCCACCCAGAGCAGGCCTTGTGTAGTAGAGGGCAGAGAAGTCTGCCCAGGGTTCAAGGCAGCCCAGGCTGCAAGTGCCAGTGCCAGACGGGGCTTAGGTGGCCAGACTTTGGGGCTGTTCTCCTTTTGCCGTGGCTGGTGACTTTGACCTGAGCCCTGCCCCCAGGCCAGGCCTGTCTCGCAGGGTGTCTGCCACCTGGACCCCACAGCCCGTTTTCCTAAGGGGAGCCTGGAATGGTTGCTTGCTGAATGGGAGGCTCTCCAGCCCCAGGCTGGGCCCTGTGTCCCTAGCTATGCTCAGATCCTTGTGCCTTTCTCTGGGGGCCTCCTCCACCAGGAAGCCCCCTTGGTTGGCCTGCATGATGCCCACTGTTCAGTTGTCTGAATCGAGGACTTGTTCTGAAACCTCACTTGTGAGCAGCTAGACGGTGGAGGGTGTCCCTGCTGGGCTGGGGGATCCTATGTGCTCTGTGATCATTGCTCCACATCTCACACGCCTCTCCAGGGAGGCACCCCAGGAAGAAAGAGGCCATTTATGGAGTACAGGTTGCTCATCTCCTTCTATTCCAGGTTGCTAGTGCGGGCCAGGGGGACAGAGCTGCCTCTCAACCTTCTTCCAGTGCCTGCCTTCTGGGGGACATGCACTGTRCATACAGCAGGCACTCTCTAAGTGCTCAGCAGTGAGCAGCTCACCCCACAGGCTGCCTTGGGCTTCAGAGAAGTTTGGTAGCCTCTCCTCCACCTGTCAGCCCTGTGTCACTCTTACCTGCCCAGGGCACTGGCACTGTGAAGGGTCTCCAACCAGCACAGATGGACATCGTGCTACAGTGTGCCAGCTTGAGGCATGACCTTTGTCCAAGAAACCAGAGCTCTGGCACAGCCTCTCAGAGCTTGGATGAGCCCTGTCTGAATCACCCTGGGTCCAAGTCTCAGAGGACCAAGCTGTGGACAGTTCCCACATGTCCTGGGGCAGGGCAACCAGTTTCCCTCCAAAGGGATGCCTTGGGAGTGAAGGGGCGGCATTTGTAGTGATGGGGACTCGTGTYAGTGACCCCTCCCAGGAAGCCTTCCCCAGGGAAACAGGGAGGCTGCGCTCCCCAGCGTGACCAGAGCTGGCCCCTCTGAGTGCCAGCTGGTGCCCAAGCGGAGCTGAAATCCACTTGCCCTGCCGGGGACTTTCTGACCTGGCCTTGCCCCACCTGCAGGGGGTGGGTGGCAAGCTGGTCCTGCACCTAAGGCAGGACTGGGGGTGTGGCCTCTGCCTGCGGTGCCTTGCCGAGATGGGGGTCACCGGCATCCTCAGTCACACCCTCCTTTCCCTTCYCACCCTCCCTGGGCTTGGCTTGCCTAGCTAAGGGTACATGCGGGTCCAGCCAGTCCACTGTCAGGGGACCTCAAGTCTGAAGGAGCCTGAGGTCCCCCCTTGTTGGGCAGAGGAGAGGCCCTGGGTGTGTGGGCTCCACCTGYTTCTCCAGCAAACACCTGTCTCGGCTCAGTTTCTCCAGCTGTGCCACGTGGAGTGAGATGGGGTGCTGGGGGACACTTGTGGATGGTGTAACTCCAGATTCCAAGTCATTTGGGAGTCATGCAGAGGGTATGGGATGGGGAAGAAATGGCCTCTGAGCCTGGCGCCATTCCTGCTGACCCTGGGGTAGGAGGGTGTGTGGAGTCTTGAGTAGTGCCAGGATAAAGAAGTGGGGCGTCAGTCAGCCTGGAAACCAGTGGACACCCTCGGGTGGCCTCAGCAGGGCTGGCAGGTCAGGTGGACAGATTGGGCCCCAGGGCAAGGATCCTGGAGGCCTCCTCGGGCAGCTGGATCAGGAAGGGTAGAGGGCATCCTCCCTGGGGCAGCATCCAGGTCGGCCCTGGATGGACATCTGGCCTCCTCAGGTTCTAGGCTGGGGAAACTGGTGCTTTGTGGTCCGAGGAGCCCCATGGGGGCAGAAACCAAGCCCAGCTCAGAAGCGATGACTCCAGCCAGAGAGGGGGCCAGGGTCACTGGGCGGCGAGACCTCCACCGATCCAGGGAGTTCTCTGCCCAAGCTCCAGTGCATCAGGGGCACATGGCCACCTGCCAACGCCGTGAGCACTGCCTTCTGGGGTTTGAACGAAGGACTCAGGACCACAAACCCACCTCCTCAGGCCTCCGCAGTCAGGCCCCTAAGGTTCATGCTGGGAAAAGCCAGGCRCTGGGTGAGGCTCCGAGGACACAGCTCCCAGCCCCTCCCTGCCCTGCCCGGCTGCTCCCCGCTCTGGTCTCCACCATCCACCTTCACTAATGAGTGGAAGGGCGCCGGCCTCTCCAACCAGCCAGACCCAGGTGCAGATGGCCCACTGGCTCACACGTGCCCCCCTCCACACTTTGAAGGAAAGGCGGGTGGTCTGCGCCAGAGGGCAGGAGGACGGGGCTCCGGGGAGGAGGGCACTCCAGGTAGGGGACACAGCCGGAGCCAGGCCTGGAGCCGGCTGCCGACCTCACCCCGTTGCCTCCCCCTCCAGTACTCCCCACTGCTGAAGAAGCTCTACTGCCAGATTGCCAAGACCTGCCCCATCCAGATCAAGGTGTCCACGCCTCCGCCCCCGGGCACGGCCGTGAGGGCCATGCCGGTTTACAAGAAGGCRGAGCACGTGACTGACATTGTGAAGCGCTGCCCCAACCATGAGCTTGGGAGGGATTTCAACGAAGGTGAGTCCCCACCAGCTCCCAGACCACTGCAGCACCATGGCCAGCGGCCGGATGACCAGGGAGTGGGGGCTGACCGGGTGGATGCAGCCACTCCTCCTGGAGCCCCATTTCTCCCAGCTCTGACTGGGGCTCCAGAGCAGGAGCAGGTGGTCTGGGATGGGTCTGCAGATTCAGTGACCGGTGGAGTCCACATGGGGTGCCCTCCAGTGTGCTGGCCAGGCCTTGGGGGCCACCCAGGGCTCAGCAGGATTGCTGAGGACAGAGCTTCTGGGCCAGGCACAGGGCTGGCAGCAGGCCTGAGTCCTGCCTGGGATGCCCAGGGGACCAGGCCACAAGGCACCGGGCCCCTCTCTGAAGTGGTGTGCCCTCCCGGCAGGACAGTCTGCCCCGGCCAGCCACCTCATCCGCGTGGAGGGCAACAGCCTCTCACAGTATGTGGACGACCCCGTCACCGGCAGGCAGAGTGTCGTGGTGCCCTACGAGCCCCCGCAGGTAGGCCGGGGGCCAGAAGGGGTCCCCCAGGTGGAGGTTCTGGCTGGCTCGGGGCTAAGGGGCCCCACGGAGTGCAGTTGTGTCACGAGGCCCTTCTCTGCCTGGCACCTGGCACTGGTTCTGACCACCTGCTGTGCACACTGGCGTTCCAGGCCAGTTCTGACGGGCGCTCTCTGGGCACGAGGGTCCCCAGCTCTGTCATGGGTGGGCAGGTGATCTCTGAGCCTCAGCCTGCCCTCCTGGAGTCTCTTCTTCCTGTCTGTTGGTCCCAGCATTGGTCTGGGCCTGGGCTGGACACCAGAGGAGCACAGTGGACGTTCCCAGGCACCTCAGACTCTGGATTGCCCRAGAGAACCAAACCAGCAAGCACTGGTGGGGTGTGGGCATCCAGGCTGGGGCTGGACGTGGCCCTAAGGCCAGACGGGGCATCAGGGGCAGGCGGCCGGAGGAGGAGAGGCTGAGGTAGGGCCTGACCTTTAACCTGAAAGTAGCAGAAGGTTCTGGGGATGGGGACGCCATTCTGGGTCTGACGTGGGGCTCAGTTGGTGGGAAAGGGTGGGGGTGGAAGGAGGCAGAGGGTTGAGGGGACCTAGAGGTGGTGGTGGGATGGGTGTCCCCGGGGAAGGCAGGCGACTGCCAGGCCCCGTCCCTGTCCCTGGTTCTGAGGGCAGCCCTCCAGGGCCCCACCCGTGGTCCTCTGAGACCAGCCCTCCAGGGCCCCACCCCATGGTCCTCTGAGACCAGCCCTCCAGGGCCCCRCCCSTGGTCCTCTGAGGGCACCCGTGGTCCTCTGTGAGTGGCACAGGCCCAGGGCTGTGACCCAGCTGCGGCACTCCCTCCTCCGTCTCCCACCTCCACCTGCCCAGGCTGTCACCTGCCCAGGAAGTGGGCTCTCTCGCCCCCTGCTGGCTGGCATGTGCCCGCAGCTCTGTGGAAGCCTGAGTTTTCCCAAACCAAGGACCGTTTTGTGTCCCTGCCCCAAGGCCTTCATGAAAACTGCCATTTGTGGTCCCAGGATGCTCAGATCCTGGGTTCGTGTCTTGGGCCTGCCCCAAAGTCCTCAAGAAATAGAGGTGCTCGGGGTGTCTACCCAGGATGACTGTGGCCCCCATCCTTAACAGTGCCTCCCATCTCTGCCCCAGTGGGTCCACCGCAGGCAACACACACCCTCTCACACAGCCTSGGGGCTTGACCTCAGCCTGGGCCACTCATGAGCCTTGCTTCCTGAGAACAGAGACCAGAGACCAGGCCTGAGCCCTCTCAGAACCCAGAACCAGCACAGCACTCAGTGCTCAGTACACTGGATGGTTGGATAGATGCAGGGATGGGTAACGGGTGGGTGGGTAGATGAATGAGAAGGTGGGTAGGTGGGTGGGTGGATGGTGGATGGATGGGTGGGAGGGTGCATAGGTGGATGGATGGGTGGGTGGGTGGATGGTGGATGGATGGGTAGGTGGATAGGTGGATGGATGAATAGATGATGGGTAAATGGGTGGATGGATGGATGGTGGATGGATGGGTGAGTGGGTGGGTGGAAGGGGTAAGTGGGTGGACAGATCGACAGATGGACGGTGGATGATTGGATGGATGGATGATGACATGAGAACCACAGAGAAGCCCCCCACCCTGTGCCTATCCAGAGCCAGGGCCAGATGTGGTTGATGCCTGCCCTCCTCCTGCCTCCCCGCGCACAGGTGGGGACGGAGTTCACCACCATCCTGTACAACTTCATGTGCAACAGCAGCTGCGTGGGGGGCATGAATCGCCGGCCCATCCTCATCATCATCACCCTGGAGACCCGGGAGTGAGTCTGCCATGACGTGGTGGTGGAGGTGGAGCAGGGCTCAGGCCAGCACCGTGGGGCTTGGCACGGAGCCAGGATGGCCAGGCCAGCTGAGYGGGGCCAACCCCTGGGGGCCTGCTGGGAGAAGGGTCCGCAGGACAGGCTGCTGGGAGGGAGGGACCTCCCCTGCCCCCAGGGCAGGAGCTGGGCCTTGGGAGGGAGATGGGGCAGGCTGACCTCAGAGCAGCCTGCAGCTCCGGCTGTGGTTCTTCCTGTGGGAACGCTGGCCGCCCTGTCTCGGTGCTCGGCCCAGGAGGCCAGTCCTGCGGGGCCCACAGTGGGCGGGGAGARGCAGGGCTAGGCTGGGCTGCTGCAGCTCATGGCTCTGGCTGTGCCCTCCTGACAGTGGACAGGTGCTGGGCCGCCGGTCCTTTGAGGGACGCATCTGTGCCTGTCCTGGCCGTGACCGCAAAGCCGACGAGGACCACTACCGTGAGCAGCAAGCCCTGAACGAGAGCACCACCAAGAGCGTGGCTGCTGGCAAGCGGGGTGAGCGGGCGGTGCTGGGCGGCCACACTAAAGGGTGGGGCTGGACATGCGGGGAACTTGGGGGACACACCAGCATCTCTTAGGCAGATCCAGGTCCTGAATGGCCCTGGGGCCCAGAGGCCTCCCTGGTCCCTGAAGCCCTGGCCAAGGCACCTCATAGGTCCAGGCCCACGTGGCACCCTGGGCTCAGCTCGTCTGGCCTGGCATCTGTCCAGGTTGGCTYCGATCGCCTGCTGTGTCCATGGGAGGGCCAGCTTGCAGGGGAGTGGGGTGTCTCGAGACCCGGGCCTCCGCCCTGTGCCCTCCACCTGTGGCCTGGCTCACCTGCCCTCCCTGCCTCCCTCTAGCGTTCAAGCAGAGTCCCCCTGCCATCCCCACCCTGGGCAGCAGCGTGAAGAAGAGGCGGCACGGGGACGAGGACGTGTACTACATGCACGTGAGTGGGCACCCCAGGGCCGCGGGGGGACCTGCCTAGCTCTGTCACCTGGGCAGCCCAGGCCGGCGCCTCCCAGAGGCCACCAGGGGTGTCCCCCACACCTTCGATGAGCCTCCGTAGAAGGCAGGGCCTCAAAARAGGGGAGGCTCCCAGGGAGCCGCCCCGACAGGCCACGGCGAGTGAGGCGGGTCCGCCAGGTCAGTGGCTCTGAGCCAGGCCAACCCCGGGCACGCCCGTCCACCCGGTGGAAATTCAGCAGGCAATTCTGGCAGGGGGTGTGTGGCTTGCGTGTCTAGGACAGTCGGCTTGGGGCCACTTGGCTGATGAATTGAGGCACCTCATGCCTCGAGGGTCTCCCTCTTCCACATGGAGCTGAGGGGTTTTAATGCTTCACAGGGAGCCTTGGTTGAAATCCCCCTTCCCCTGAGCAGGAAGGAGTGGCCACGGTTCCCCTGGACAGGAGGCCTGGCCTGCCTCTCGGGTCATGGTCACTGGTCAGATCTGCTGCAGGGGAAGGGGAAAGGCCAGGGAACCCCGAGGAAGAAGACCCTGCTGCCAGCCGGTGTCCTCCTACGGCTGCGCTTCCCCCCCAGGAGCCTGGGCGGTGGGGTCCTGCGTGCCCCTGGCAGAGCGTCTGCCTCTGTGCTCAGGTGCGCGGCCGGGAGAACTTCGAGATCCTGATGAAGGTGAAGGAGAGCCTGGAGCTGATGGAGCTGGTGCCGCAGCCGCTCGTGGACTCCTACCGGCAGCAGCAGCAGCAGCAGCTCCTGCAGAGGCCGTGAGTGAGCTGGCCGCCCCCCGGCTGCCCCTGCTCGGTGCCGGCCACCTGGCTGGGAAGGGGATGGCTCTGCCCAGCAGGGGAAGGGCAGGAGCACTGAGGTTTTCCTGGCCACTGGGGACCAGCAGTGGGGCCTGGCGGCTCAGGGCTCAGCTCAGGGTGGTCCTGTGGCCACCCTGGGACCCTGCCTCATGGCCTTCACACTGCTCTCCCTCCCAGGGGCCTTGTAAAGTTTGCTGAGTGGAAAGGCAGGGAGGGGGCAGTTGGGGTGACACCAGTGTCATGAGTCAGCTCCACCCACGACAGAGGTCCTGCTGGACAGCAGGGGAGGAGGCTGGGGGCTGGGCCTGGCTGCAGTGGGCAGGAGGCCAGGGAGGAGGCAGCCGCTCCTGAGGCTCAGTGGGTCGGGTCCCCTCTGCCTACGTGCAGTGGCACTCCTGGACATGCCTGGGCCGGGCGAGCTGCCCTGGCCTCCTGAAACGGGGTTCGTTGCTTTCCAAGCAGGAGTCCCCTGCAGTCTCCGTCCTATGGGCCTGTCCTCTCCCCCATGAGCAAGGTGCACGCCGGAGTCAGCAAGCTGCCCTCGGTCAACCAGCTGGTGGGYCAGCCTCCCCCGCACAGCTCAGCGGCTGGGCCCAACCTGGGGCCCATGGGTGAGTCCCTGGTGCACTGGAGGCCCCAAGTGGGTTGGGGAGACCCAATACTGGGTCTGGCTCGAGTCACTGTGGCCAAGCTGGTGGGAGGGCACGGGYCGCTCCTCCCCCAGTGGCTCTGGTGGGCAGCAGGGTCCACTGGCAATCCCAGGAGGGCAGAGACAGCGTGCTTAGGAGCAGGCGGCTCACAGCCCTGCCACACCTCTCAGCAGCCGAAGGGGCTCTTGGCCTCACAGAGCCTCAGTCCCCCCGAGGGAAATGGCATTAGAAGTGCCAGCCTCACCTGTTTTGAGGCTCAGCAGGGAGGGTTTKGGACCTGTCCTGGAAGGTCCTCACGAGGGCACAGCCAGCCATGTGTCTGAAGCTGGGGTGCCCCCAAGGGGTGTCCTGAGGCATCCAGACCCCAGCATTAGAGACCCTGAGACCTGTGGTGCTCTGGGGCCCGCTGCTGTCCCTCTGCCCTCTCATGGACTGAGCAGCTTGTACATAGGTCCCTACCTCCTAGGGACAGGAGCCAGGGCCCAGGGCTCAGTCCTTGCTGAAGCCTCATGTGGCGGTGGTCACTGAGCACCACCCTGCCAGCCTTGATGCTGCCTCGGGAGCCTCCCTGCTCGGGGACACTGAGGCCCACCTGCCCTCCTGCCCAGGCCCTGGGGTGCTCAACAGCCACAGCCACACGGTGCCGGCCAACGGGGAGATGAACGGCGGCCACAGTTCCCAGTCCATGGTCTCGGGACCCCACTGCTCCCCACCACCGCCCTACCACGCCGACCCCAGCCTTGTCAGGTAGGGAGTGTCTGCCTGACCGGGGCTCCTACTGTCACCCTGTCAGCAGGGGGCGGTCTCTGCCCGCTGCCCGCTGCCCGCCCCCTCCTGTGTTACTCCACAGCGTAACTGCACACGGTCCTTAGAAGAGAGAGCTCCAGGAACGGGGCTCCTGGCTGATGCCCCCAGGGTTGGGACCGTGGGTGTCCCCAGGGAGCCACAGCTTTGCCTGAGGCCCTGGCCACCGGGCTGAGCCTCCCTGTGGGAGGCTGTTCCCACCCTCCAGGCCTCACCACAAGGTGCCCGGAGGCCCATGCTGCCATCGTCCCCCCCAGCTTTCTAACAGGATTGGGGTGCCCAAACTGCATCGAGTACTTCACCTCCCAAGGGCTGCAGAACATGTATCACCTCCAGAACCTGACCATTGAGGTGAGGCCCGGGCCCTCCCCCAGAGAGGGGGCAGGGCTGTCCCGGAGGGAACTGCCTTCCAGGGCTGGGGAGCGGGCAGCCTTTCCCTGGGTGGGCAGAGCCTCCCGCAGCGCTCACCTCCCTCTGGGGCAGCTCTCGGAAGCTGCAGGTGAGCTCCACCGGGTGGGGAGGAGGCTGGTGGACTTGCAGTGGGGCCTCTGGGAGCTGGGCTTCAGGTTGTCTCTGGTCAGAGTCTTCTGGTGCCCTGAGTCAGGCTGCCTTTGATTTTAGGGGCTGGGCTGTTTCCAAGGCCTAAAGGGTCAATTCAGGAGTCAGAGGGGGTGGGTTTAGTTCAGAACCATGTACACTAAGACTCAGAGAAGGCCAGCAGCCGGCCCAAAGCCACGCAGCTCATCCTGCATATATGGCAGCCACACATTCTGGGTCCAGGGTTGGGGGCTGGAAGGACCCCAGGCAGCTGTTTTGAGCAAGCAGCCACGCTGTCTCTGGTTTCAGTACGGACACTGGCAGGCTGGAGCCGGACTGGTCTGCGGTGGCTTAGGGTTGCCGTGACAGCTGGACAGGTCCATAGGACACAGCAGTCAGCCCGAGGGGCTGCAGCTCTGTGCCTCGGGCCCTCTGCCCTCTCTGCTCCTCGGCCAGCTGGCTCACCCAGGTCAGAGGCCAGCTTTGAACCTGGCCCAGGGCCCCAGGCCAAAGGTGCAGATTTGACAGAGGGAGCTGGGGTGAGAGCCTGGCCACTCGCTGAGGGTRGTCATGGCTGTGTCCACCTACCACCCTCCCCAGGCTATCCCCATGGCCCTCCTGGCCAGCTCAGAGGGCCCAGGTCAACTGAGCCTCACCAGYGCTGTTCATGAGCCTGGTGTGGGGAGAAGGGGTGGCGGGTGGTGGAAGCTCAGGGCTGATCCGGGATTAGCTGTCAGCTAATAGCAGGGAGGGCTGCCCCAAGGCTGGGAGGCAGGTCATCCACCYGGGCCCATCTCGGCCCCTGGACACGGCCCCAGGAGGACCTCCATGCACTTCTCAGCAACCCTGCCAAGATGTGGTGTGGTCCAACACCGAACACGGGGTCCTGTGCTGCCCTCTTCTGGGCCCCTCCAGATGACAGTGCCCCTGGCAGGGGCTTCCTGGCGGGTGGGGCGTCTCTAGGAGAAGGCCGCCAGCTGGTCATGTGACCCTGCAGCTCTTCTCCTGCCCCCGGGGGGCGCCACTCTTGCAGGACCTCGGGGCCCTGAAGATCCCTGACCAGTACCGCATGACCATCTGGAGGGGGCTGCAGGACTTGAAGCAGGGCCATGACTGTGGCCAGCAGCTGCTGCGCTCCAGCGGCAACACCGCCACCATCTCCATCGGCGGCTCGGGGGAGCTGCAGCGGCAGCGGGTCATGGAGGCCGTGCATTTCCGCGTGCGCCACACCATCACCATCCCCAACCGCAGCGGCCCCGGGGTGGCCGGCCCCGACGAGTGGGCGGACTTCGGCTTCGACCTGCCCGACTGCAGGTCCCGCAAGCAGTCCATCAAGGAGGAGTTCACGGAGACTGAGAGCCACTGAGGGCCTGGCCTCCCCGGCGCCTGCCACGGTCGCGCTTGGCCTCAGTGGCAAGACCTTTGGGCTGTGCCCGGAGAAAAGGCAGGGACCTCCCACTGTGCACCGCTTCCCAGGGGACATCACTGGCCTTCTCCGGCCACCGGAGATGCCCGTCGCGCCTGAATCCCTGTGGGAAACTCTGGAGCTGCCTACCCGCAGGCTGGCCAGGTGGGGCTTGGGCTGGTGCTGGGCAGGCTGTCCCTGGCAGGAGGAGGCACACCAGCGTCTGTTCTTTGGGGACTCTGCCCTCTCCCAACCAAGCAAGGACTCCTCTGCTGATGTTCTGCCAAAAAGTATTTCTGGTGTTTTTTTGTTCTGGGTAGCAGTGAGCAGCGGGTGACTGCCCTGAGACATGGTCACCGGCAGGTTGAGTCCAAACTGTGGTGCCCCAGGTGGGGCTGGGGGCTCCTCTGCGGGAACTGACGATGGCTCTGTCCCCTGCACACCCACCCGCAGTGACCGAAATCAGAGCTGGCTGGAACTGGAGAGGACGGTGGACAGGGGCATGGCCCCTCCTAGGAGGCCAGGAAGCTTCTGGCACCTGCCTCCAGCAGGCACCCCTAGGAGCACGCTGGCCACYGTCACCTCTCTCGGTGACGGAAAGGAGAGGGACAGCACGTCGCGGGGACTACTGGAAACTGTCAACATTTGATAAAATGTGCTCTTTTGTACTCGGAGGGTCACTGTGGTGCAGTTTTGTCCTTGAGTTCCACCCTGAGCCRTCCCTTCCGGGTTCTACCTGGCCCATCGCCTCCCCACATGTTGCCAACAAGCCCGGCTCAGAAGGGGACGAGCCGGGGGGGGGGCTGTCACGTGTCCCCAGGATGGACAGCGGTGGAAGAGGGAAACTGAGCAGCACTCAGGAACGTCCTTCCCCGTCCTCTGTGCAGGTGTCACAGGTCCACCTCAGGCCGAGGCCGGTGCTGCGCCGGTGACAGTTTCCTGTTCTCAGGGGATGGCACTGAGGCAGGGACGGGGGCCCGGCCTTGATGGAGCTGAAGGACAGGACTCCGCAGGCGAGGGGAGACGTTGGCAGGGGCCACCTGTGGGCCCGTCCATCTGCGAGGACCTTCCTGAGCCTCCGTAGCCAGAGCACCTGCAGTCAGGGGAGGGCAGGAGGCCTCACTGGAGGAGGTCATCCTTGACGGTCCTCCTTGGCCTGCAGCGTGTGATGAGACCAGCCCCTCTGCTCCACCTGCTGGACGATGTGGCCCTGGGGCCGGCCGCTGGCCCTCTGCCAGGGTACACTCAGGCCTGGCTCTCCTCTAATGTCACCCCCAGGCCAGAGGGTGGTGCAGACCAGCTCCAGACCAGGACGTGGTCCCGGGAGGCTGCCATCGTCCACCTCTCCAAAGCAGGAGTGTGTGCCGACACAGGCACAGCCCCCACACGCCACCATGCCCTTCTCGGGACCTTGAGGGACACAGGTGCCTGGGTGCACGGAGGGTGGGAGTGGCCAGCAGCTGTCAGGGCTGCCCAGGAGGCTCCCACTGCAGGCCAAGGATGACCACAGGGTCTCCAACATCTCCCTCCAGCTCTGGGGCCCGCATTGACTGCAGCTGCCAGGGGCTCCTGTCTCCCTGGACACGCCCCCCGCCCAGGGACCCGCTGCTGCTGTGGGCTCCGGCCTCCACCTGCACAGTGCAGGCCTGGCTTTGCTGGTCATGGCACAGAAGAGGAAACTAAGGCAGACAGGGTGGCCTCCCTCAGGGCTGGACGCTGGTTCTGCCCCAGCAGCAGCTCAGGAGCCGTGAGGGTCCCTCCTGACCTGGTCCTTAGCCCGTCTCAGGAGAACCGAGGTGCCAGAGCAGCTACCCCTAGCAGGCCCGCTCCCTGCTGGCCCCAGTGCAGGAGGCTGTGCGCCTGGGGTGGGCGGCTCAGGGCCTGGAGGGACCCCCGGTCAGACGTCCACAGAAGGATGGGCGGTTGGAGAACACACTGGAGGTGCCGTCTCCAGAGCAGGCCAAGGACACTGGTGCTCCTCAGGCCCCCCCAGCCTGTCGTTGGCCGTCAGCACCCTGGCACTGCTGACGGAGGACTTGGGGTGAACGGCCCTAGGCTCTGCCAGGGCTGGAGGGGGTGCTCATTGCCCGGAACCCACTTTCCTCATGAGGTTGAACGTCCTGGTCAACAGAACTCAAAAATGAAGAAAAAACAAACTTCAAGGCCTAAGGTCCTCCCAGCAGCACCCGGGCGGTAGCCTGGAAGGTGTGGTCAGCCGGATGCCCTCTGCTGAGCCAGGACAGGCGGGAAGGCCCGACACCCCACAGCCCGGGGGTCTCTGCAGTCTCTGATGGCTCTGGCCATGTCCAGGCGTCAGCACCAGGCCTGGGCTGCGGGAGCAGTCACCACGCTCCGTGGGCTCCCTTGGCGCCAGGGCTGGTGTGCAGGGATCTGGCTCAGAGGGAAGCTGGGGTGGGAGCACGGGATGCTCCAAGGCTGGGACCAGCGCCACCYGTGTCCACGGAGACTGCGCTCCTTCCAGCAGTATCAGTGGACGCATCCCAGCGCAGACTGTCTTCAGTATGTAACCTTGGGGAAATGTGTTATTTTTTTAGCTGTGTTTTGGCGGGAACTTTGTTTTGTAACCTAATAAAGCACGTGTTCGGATGAYGGGCTCTCGTGGCTAAACCCTCTCGCGGGCTCCAGAGGATTGTCCGAGGCCCTCATGGTCCTTGTCACTCGGCAGCAGACTCAGAGAGACGGGGCGCAGGCAGGGGGTGTGCGGGCCCCGCTGGCCGTGAGCATCTCTGGCTGTCAGTCCCTCTGACTGGGCTGGGGTGGGGGGTCCCCTGCCCTCACCCCAGGAGAGGACATGGGGGCAAGGGAGTGGCCTCCCAGGGGCCTGGCCACCTCAGGCCCCAAGTTCAGGCCCCAACCCCTTGTCTCTACTGAGTCCCTGGCTTTAGAAGGGTCACTGGCCTCCAGGCACGTCACAGACACCCTCGGGGACACGGGTAGTTGGGCACATGCACGCTCCTCGGCAGGACCCAGGGGGACGGACGGAGCCCAGGGCTGGCTCCCGGCAGGCTTTCAGCCACCTGGGCTTCACTTTGGTCCCTGGTCTCAGATTTCTCACTTTGGAGTTGTGAACGAGGCGTCAGGAACCTGTCACCGCAAGATGAGGCTGGGGAGGCTGCTCAGCCTTGAGGGGGGCCAGTCTGAAGCAGAGTCGGACGAACAAGAGGCCCGAGGCGAGGTGGGGAGAGACCCACGCTCCCCCGCTGCCCTGGAGCTCCCCGGGGGTCCCCATGCTGGCCGTGGAGCACAGGGAGGCCCAGCGACACCCTTCCGTCTGCGTCTTCCCTCGAGCACGTCTTTGCCCATGAGCAGCTGGGCCCTTCTTGGATTCACCGTCCATCCCCGGGGCCACCGGAGAGGGCTGAGCGGGACACACATCCCCCTTCCCGGGACGGGACTCTGGACCCCAGGCACCAGTTCCTCAGAACTGGACGGGGGCGCGGACTAGGATGACTCATTTGGGACAGCCACCCACGGCACAGACGCCGGGCGCTGACCGCCCTGTGAACCACAGCGGCTGGTGCTTCAACACGGGCCAGTTTCAATCTGTGCTTTAAAACCACGCGGTCTGGGGGTGGACGGCCAGTCAGCGTCTCACGCGGTGACCGACGACGGCTTAGACGAGGTTATTTTGGCTCACGGTTTCAGAGGCTCAGCCCGCTGCGGCCGACGCCACGGCTCTCCCAGGTGAGGCAGGCTGTCATGGGGGAGGGACGGCAGAGGACCCTGCTCCTCCCAAGACGGCCAGGAAGCAGGGAGAGGGGAAGGTCCYCAGGGAAGACGCACCGTCCAGGGCAGCCCCGGGCCTCCTCCTCCAGCCAGCCCCAGGGGCCCCAGTACCACCCATYGCCCCATCCACGGGATGGACTGAGGAGGTCTCACAGGAGGGTCACTTCGCCTCTGGACAGTGCTGCATTAGCACAGGGGCTGGGGACGCCTGGTGCCCACCGTAACACAGCGGGTGAGAAGTCCGGTTATCTTCAAATGAACAAAAACACCTCCGATAGGTCTGACTTTCAAAAAGAGGAGCTGGGCACAAAGCAGAGCTGCCCCGCTGTGAGGCCCCGTCCCTCGAAGGAATGCTTCCATGAGGAACGAGAGGCCGGATCCGGAAACGGTGTCCACGCCCACACAGTGGACTTTGGTGCATGTCCTCTGACTGGAAAGGAAGCCTCTCTCCAGCAGGAATAGTGAGTGYGCGTCACCCAGTGCTGTGGCCCTCCCACGTCGTGGGCGCCAGACGACGCTGCACCACCTCCCACATTCCCCAGGGAACTGCTGCTGCTGTGACCGCCAGAAAAGGCCTGAGGACACGCAGCTGCTTGGGCACTCGGCCAGCCCTYAGCTCGGCTCCCACAGGGGCTCAAGTGGAGGTCACCCGTGGGCGACACCATCCAGACCCGACACGCAGTCTCCCTGAGGGCTGAYCAGCAGGACTCCAGGCCTGCTGAGAAGGCTGGCCAGAGAGGCTCAGGCCGGTGCTGGTGCGGGGAAGCAGCTGGTCACTGGCCGAGGTCACGTGAAAGCCAGGTCCCACCGGCAGGGAGACACCGCGTCCCAGGGCTCCCTTCTTGTTTCCAGCAACCGTGTCACGGAGGTCCTGCTTCTCCTCAGTCACAGGAGGAAGTCGAACAGGCGGGGCATCGCAGGGCTAGTCTTGCCCATAGAAGTCACCACTGCCAGGGCCCCCAGGACTGCTGGTGGTCTCTGTGGACACGGCCCTGAGGAACTGCCCCCTGGAGACTCAGGGGGCCTCTTCCTTGGCAGAGGGTCCTGTGCACAGGCYCAGGGTGAAGCCAGCACCTGGGAGACAGAGGTCACTCCTTTGGTGGACGTGAGGAGGTCCCAGACTCCTGGGGTCGGCCTGGGGGGCGCTGTGGGAAGGGGACCTGGTCCCAGGAAGGCCCAGCCACCCTCTCTGACCACCCCCCTGCCCTGGGCTTCCGCTCTGCCTCCTGGTGCCCAGTCTCTTCCCAGAACCAACAGCCAGAGGAAGGCGCCCACTCAGGACACGCGACACCCACCAGAGCCGGGAGTCTGGACAGGCTGCCATGTGGCTCACCTGGGACTCAGAACATTCCCTCCGAGGGTCACCTCGGGTCACCAAGGTGGCAGTCACAAGCACAGACGTGCAGGCCGTGAGTCAGCGGGCGGCGCCTGGTCAACTTCCTGCCCGAGGGGCCCGTGGCCGTCCAACTCCCTGGAAATGGCATCTGGCCGGGCAGCTGGCAGACACCCCGAGTCCCTTCTGAGGACCTGCAGGTTCCAGAGCATCTGAGGATGTCTCCACACGGGGCCTGGTGGTGGCTGGCCTGGGAGTGGGAGCAGAGGGACAGGGAGGGACTGGTCCAGTGAGGCCCAAGGGCTCCGATCCTCCACCGCAGCTGCCCAGGGAACCACACGCCGGCTGACTCTCGCAGGTCTAGAGCGGAGCGTGCGGTGGCTAGAAGGGGCGGCTGGCGCCCTCTAGACCACCCACAACCGCCCTGCAG